TAATCACCTGAACAATTATTACTAATAAGAATATTTGCCCAATCAATCCATGCCACATTGGACAGTATTATTCAAATATTAGGATGCAAAAATGTTTGCGAAAGAGTCAGTAAGTCTGCCTTTCGCCACACTCACTTCATTTCAGTTTCACACTCTAGTTCAAGTTTGCTCAATTTATCGACTTTTTAGATATCAAGAGGAAATGAATTATTGAACGATAACTTTTGCTACTCCCTTACGTCCATTCTGGTGGGAGGTCACTTTTTAGAGCAATGAACTCAAGTAAGGAAGGCCAGTGTTGAAGTCCTAAATGTAATAATTCAATAAGCCTAAATGTAATAAAGTCCTAAATGTAGTAACATTTGTCCTAAATCTAATAAAGTCATAAATGTAATAACATTTTTCCTAAATGTAATAACATTTGGTCCTAAATGTAATAATCCTTCAATGCAATAGTTTAACTGTGCTCGTGCATCCACAATGAGATGTTAAAGCGACAACTGTACAGAGAATCCTCAGATCAAAACTCATGACGCATTGTGGGCTCGCAGGCTTTTTTTTTTACCGAAGAGGCTTGCTCAAGAAATTTTATGTTTTCGGCAAGTAATTTTTCACGGAAAAGAATGCGTTTTCTTTTTAGTAATTACGAGTAACGGAAAATAGCTTCTTTGTTTCACTTATCGCGACTGGCAACATCTCAACGTCTATAGATTATAGGCCACGACTCCAATCGCTGAAACTTCTACCTATCACGTATTGGCACGAATTTAGGGATATGATAACGATAAAAGAAGTTCATTTTGTTTTCATCAGTTTTTGCTCGTAGAATATGAAAGGGAAGTCAGAATCAAAATTTTACGTGCGTATAAAATTGGCCGGATGTATAACATAGATAAGAAAAAATCCCGAAGCTGTTAACTCTGTCAGTAACAATTCACTCAGTATTGTATAAGAGTGTATGTACATAGGCTACAAAAATTAGCCTAAATAAAAGCCTTAAATAAACGGTAAACTAGACTGAAGAAAGTACAGGTAGCTTTGTATCAAATTCCCTTTGTCTTCTAAAAAGAAATAAATGGAAAAAAATTTTTGCGACTCTTGTCTTTCCAATGATCGAATCTTTGTTCATCAGAGTTTCATTAAAATGCTTTTCTTGCATTGAAATTAAAGCTAGAGCAAGTGCTTTCTTTACATGTATCATTGAGAGGAACAGTATTCATTTACCTGTTACAAGGCGGTGAAAATTAAACACACGTTATTGAGAGGGCGCTGATGTTGTCCAATGTCAATCGGTGTTACATAACAAGTGTGACTGACGTTTACAAAAATCTAGTTACCACCAATCTCAAAATCAAGATTTAGAATTACCAAATAGCCTACCTTGTGATTCAGTTTTTCGATTCCTCTTGTCTATGATAACCTCCCGTAAACTGTCTCTCGGCCTAAATAGCTATAACATGAAATTTCAATCTCAACGCCCAAAATTAATAATAATAATAAAGGTCTTTATTAAGAATTATTGTGCAAACAGACGTGCTACAATTAACATGAATAACATGAATAACATGAATAAAATGAATAAGGAAAAAGAAAAGGTATTAATTAGATCAGGGAAATGGTTTTTTCACAAACGTATGAAAATGCTGTCACATTACATAACAAAATGAAATGTCTAAAAGACTTTTTTAATTACCAAATAGTCTAAATGTGGCAGTTAAAAGGGAAACAAAAACTGGGTTAATTTTTTTTTTCTTCTGCTACCTTTTTAGGAAAAAAAATTAAGTTTTCTGTTAGCTTCACCCACTTTGGTAACCGTCAAGGATACAAAAGCCAAGTACAATACAGTTACGTTAAGAGAGTTTTTAAACAAGAAAAAAGTTTTCAGTATAAAAAAAAAAAAACAGAGTAAGAACATCATAATCCATATGGTTCCAAGTTCTAGAGAATGTTTGAAGTCTCTTATATTACAGAAAATCATGATACCACAAGATGTCGACTAGTTTGCGAGAGCCTTTCTTAAAATACCCTAAAGGTGCAGTTATTTTAATTGCTCGGGCACACTCGATATTTCGGTCTGCACGACACTAGCTCATTTTCTGTCATTAACAGGAGGAATAGCTTCCGAGATATTTATTAATTTCTGCTTGTTTTGGTTTGAAGCTTTACAATAAACGTAAATACTCAACGAAGAAAATACTAATTTGCGAGAAACAAGTTAAAATGCTTATGTCGGCTTTAAAATTGCAAAAGAAGATTTAATAGTTTTCTTCTTAAAGGTAAGCTCTTCTACGAATATGTTGGGGAGAATCTAATTCCCTTCAGCTTCAGGCTCATGTCAGATTGCGAAAAAACTGAAACAAACGCCCTAGGCTAAATACTTAATGAAATTACATCTTAAATTTAATATGTGGCCTCGCGGTTTCAATTTATCGTAATTGTCAGAGATGAACATTAAGGTTGAGATTACAGGCTTAATGTATTCATGTACGGGTTTTTAAAAGCTAACAACTTTGACAAACGGAAACCGTCTTTCAAAATTCATCGAGTAATATTTCATCGCAGGATGTTTGCAATCAACTCACCCTTTTCGGCGTAATATTACTGTTTGGAAATGTTATCCTTTAGTGTTCTGTAGCATTAGTCTATGTAAGCTATTAGTTGCGTACATTTGAAGAGAAAGTTGCATTAAAATCCTTGTTTGTCATTGTGATTTGTTCTAATTTTTTAAAACTGCTCTGACATAACCTTTGTAGTTGTGAACCACGTCACTATTACCAATGACAATAAAACGAAAGATGATTTCTACTTTTACGTATTGATTTCTAAACGATGAAGTCCTAAATAGAATTTCAACGAAAGCCATAAACGTAGGCCTTTCATGGGCAAGCAATATGTTTGCGCTCAACCTGTTATTCCGCGTCTTGGAGATCCTGCGCTATTTTTCTTTCAAGCCTTCAACCGTGATTTAATGTGGGCAAAGGCGGGACGTTACTATTGGTTACAGAACATCTTGGAAAACATTAATGATACTTTCGGTTCGTTGCGCTTTTTTATGCTTTTACTAGATCAAGTTTTTATACCAGCTTAAACTGAACCCTGACAGTTTTGTCAACCTCAATCGAATGAAAAGAAATTACCAAAAGGAAATTAAAGTGGTCGAACGGTTCTTAGGAAGTTGTTTCCAAATTTGACTTTTGCAGCTAGTTATAGAAATGGCGTTACAAGACAGCTATGTATATTATTCTCGTTTTTTAACGTCATTTCTTTCTTTTATTCATTCATCTTTTTTTTTTTTTTTGCTTCGTTGTTGTGCTCTTTATTATTTTGTAGGCATAATAAGAATGCTAAAATTCTCTGACGCATATTATCACACAGCCAACGGCACTGAAGACAAAGTGAATGATTAGCACCTTTGATCTGTTTGTTAACAGACCAGGGCATAACAAACTTGGGGGTCTTAGAGCTAGCTTGAGGCTTTTTTACTTACCTCAAACTTGTGACAGTTGGAAAAGCTGATAAAAATATCCGTTTTGTTTGTCTACAATGAAAGCAATCGGATTTAAAGGAAATGATATGGATATATCAACAAAGTTGAAATGGTAAATTAGCCATCGTAATGATTACGGTGGCTAATTTACCATTTCAACTTTGTTGATATATCCATATTATTTCGTTACTCCCACCGACGCAGCCCCAAACAGTTTCTTTCGAAACTATCAGCCTTTATTCATTTGGATTTAAAGGAAACCACGACTGACCTGTCACCTATGAATCTAGCGATTACGTAGCTTAAACCCTTTATAACCCCTGAAAATGACCAATATCTAACTTCTCCTTCCAACGTCTCCACCGAAACACAGAGGAAAGCCAGGAGAATAAAGGAAATGATCACCCACTAAAGAAACTCTTTATTGTTAAACAAATTCTCCTTGTCTGGACCAAGGAAACGTGTAGAGAACAGTATGAAGAATATGCATACTGATGTTAGGTTGTAAAGGGTTAATCCATGTTCCCCTGCCAGGTATTCTCCGGTGAACTTCATAGTCAGCGTTGAACCATAACCATTTATAATCCCTAATGTTACTTAAATGCATTCCGGCCACAACGCGGCAGTGGAGGAAACATGCGTCAACAAATAAATTCTTGAACTTCAATTCCGTATAAAATCCACAATGAACCCAGCTTTTTTATTTTATTTAGGACGTTCTTATTGTCGTTCACCACCATCACTGTCATATCGTGTATGCATTATTAAACTTTTTGTTAAAACCAATTAATGTTTTAGATTTATTTTATAATATTTTTTTTTCGGAGTAAGAATAGAAAGATTTCGCTGATCGCTGATTGCGATATTTTGGGCCTCAAATTTATACATTTTTTTATTGAAACAGATTAAGAGTAAGCAAAACGTCAGTCACACATTTAAGATATTTATAGGAGCAGGAAAATAAGCAGACGATAGTTCAAACCATTGTTATTTTTCCCTCTATTCTCGGGCCTAATAATTGCTATATAAAGCTGGATATGACAGAGCAATAATTAAGAATTTACACATATGAGATGCAGTGTACTGTTTAACCGGCAAAGCAACCATGTACTTCCTGTGACTTCGCTCTTCATTCGAAAATATTTTTCAACATCAAGTTTAAATACACATACTTTCTTGGATCTAAATATGCTTCGATATTAGAATTCTCGTAGCGGGTTATAAGTTGGAGCATTCCTCTGAATTTTCTCATGATCTTTCTTCATTCTCGTTCACTCGACTAGACTTTGGACTCTACATTTCGTATTCGAAAGTATATTAACTCTTACTCCTTCAGCTTTGACATAGCTACACTTTAATTTGCTCAGAATACTTTGCTAAATTTTCTATATGCCCACCAAATCGCAGTTGGATCTACAGGGGATTTACTTCATCAAGACCCAGTCAGTCCCTTTGAACATTCATAAACCTGCTTGTAGCAAAACTAACATAAGAAAGGTAGTGGAAAATACCCATGGAATGTGATTTCAGGCCTATGATTTTTCAAAATTCATTTTTGAATGATTAAAATAAGGATTACATTGAAAAAAGAATCAATTTTGTCCGGAATATTTTTGAGGCGCAGTACAAGAGCCCCCTGACGGTGGTGCAAGAAGTTAGTTCGCCTCCTGGTGGCAGAAGCCACAAGCCGAAAAAACTGAAACGTAAATCAACTTCTCACCGTTTTTTTACCTCAGAGAATGCTTTACAGAGTGAAGTTGACCACGAGGAGATTTCCTCTTCAATCAAGCTCGTTGTGTGCTGTTAAACGAACAAAACGTACCATGTAAGTTATTTTGAAGAACTGAACTTGACTGATAAAACCTCCGATTTGGTGATTCATAATTTTCGTTACGTTGATATAACGCACATTGCATGTGGCAACTGTTTTGGAAGCTCGATTAGAATTACAATCTTTCCTAGATCCGCCCATTTTACGTATACAAGCGTGTAGAGACCACAAATGTTTGAGCATAAATCCGAGGCTGTCCATACTTATCGTACGTCAGCGAAATATAAAATGTTTGAATGTAATAACTAATTCACACTTGGTAGTGATAAATTAAAATGCATCTTATGCTGAGACAGCTGGGTCACACAGCCAGCCAGGAAGGCGGTCGGAATGTTGTCATGGATCAACTTTCTTTTTTCACCACTATTGAAACTGTTTGAATGAAAACTTATCACGAATACTTTTTTGCAGACAGAAAGAAACATTTTAATAATACTCCACTAGATATTAGTCACCTTTCTGCGATACAATGTCAAACAAATATTAACTAAATAATTTATTTTTGCGTTTTTATGAAGAATTATCTCTTCTATCGCGCCAAAAATCTAAGTTGACGAGGAGCGTTGACGCTACTCCGCTAATTTCAGGTCAACTTCCTGCAATGCGCTGTCAGGAAAATGTAAATTCTGGAATCTGTTTTTGCCTTTTGCTTTATTTTTTCCTCTTCTTAGCCGTTTTCATGAAATATTTTCCTTAAGATCTGAAAAATACTTAGTTAAAAAGAAAATTCATTTTTATGTTTAAAAAATATAGATTGTTTTCGACAAAGTATTCCCCGAGAAATTAAAAGTATGGTTGAGAAGAATAGCCGTTAAACAACTAAACAAACTAAAGAACATCAAGTCATCAAGAAAAGGGGAGAAAATTGCATTAGTCTTTCAACAAAACCCATACACTGTCGCCCAGGAAGAGAAGCGAAACCAACCGAGATGGATTGTTGATTTGCAACTCTTGGACATGGACACAGAGTAAAAAAACATGTTTACAGCAGCTCGAAGAAGAGTAGCTATCTTTTTAAAGCCAACATTACGAAAGAATGGTCGTAAGCTTGATCAACGTGATAACCGCTTTTCCAAAATGATGTCCTAAATCTAGAATTTATCATTGGGTAAGTGTATTTCGTATTGCGAAGAAGATCATTGTTCAATCAATCAAAGTTTGTTTTACTTGGGATAAGGCAGTTTCATTGAGAAAAATAAAACTTAGAACTTTTCAAATATATTCTGAAGACCAAAGTGCGATATTCGACCATAATCGTTTGCATTAGTTTTGCACAGTAATGTATGTTTTAGTAACACTAGTATCGCAGAGGTCAGTGGTTCGAATCCCGTACAGGCCTGATTTTTTTCAGGTCTGATTTTCGCTATTGCATAAATAGCGCTCTCTACTGCGAAGATCGTGCATCATACGCAAAGTTGAGTTTGTTACTATTTGCGTCAAAATGTTGTTACAAATTACGTAGAGCGATAATTATTACAAGATGTTGCAATTATCTATATTACAGGATGCGTAGGTTTTTACAAAATCCCACAACCGTCATTATAAAATGAGTCGTTACTAAAAATGCCGCTGAAAAATGGTGCTTATTTGGAAGAAAGTAGTGCAAATACATACATACAGTGCAGTTCAACTGTATTGATATTGATCACATCCATCGGCTCCGTCAGTATGGAGAAATGCCTTCATCTCATCGGTGCAAAAAAATAAGTAGTGCTTAAAGACTACGAAGAGTTGTATAAACTCTCAAGCAGTCTTCTTGTCTGCCACGACAACTGCACAATCGCGATCAAACGCGC